TTTTTTCTTACACCTTACCTACTAAAGGAGGAGTTCTTGATGGGTAAGTGGATGCTATCCGCAAGACACCAGGGAATTTATTAGAGGTCACTCGAGCGCATTAGCTATATCTTCTTCAGGGGGAAAAAAAGCACACAAAGAAGTATCTGTATACCTTTTATTTCCAGAGGGATTTTTCTTTTTTTCCCTCCCCCTCCTTTTTTCTTTCCCCTCTCCCCCCCTTTTTTTTTTGTTTCAAAGTGATAAGCTTGTTTATTTGCCAGTTTTTACTTTGTGCAAAAGCCCTTAATTTGATTTGATTTGATTTTTCTTTACTTATTTTAGTGACGTTCATTCAGCCTCTTTTTTAAGGAAGCTTAAAAAATTCACTCATTTAAGATTTTGGTTCATTTTTGTTTTCTTTCCAAGGATTATGTCAGGTTTTTATATGTATATTCCCATTTTAATTTATTTTTTTTTTCTTCTCCCCCTTTTTACAGTTAAATAAGGGCTTTGTCCTCTGTTATACCTTTTTTATTTAGTTAGTTATTTTGATTCTTTGGTTGTTGAACTCTTTTTGTTTAACATGAATCGCATGCTGATACTCTTTGCATGATCTCTAAATCTTCCCGTTATCATAGCAGGGGGAAAAGAAGTTTCTTCGTACTGTGGATTTCTTTCAGGGATATGTGCTTTTGTTTGCTTCTCCTCTTTCTTCTTTTTCTTTCTTTCTTTCTTTCTTTGTTTCTTTCCTTTTGTTTCAGTGCATCATGATGGTAAAATTTCTGGGTTTTTTGTTTTTTTGTTTTTGTTTTTTTTTAAAAAGCAAAGTAAAACCAAAAACAACCCCCCCAAAAAACCCGTTCAAACAATGCCAAATGGCTTTTTTGCTTTCAGATCTCTCAGTCAGGGTCTTCTGCTGACCTCTTTACCAAAACAGACAGCTCGCCTGGCAACCTAGCCAGCCAGAATGGAGAGTATCATGAATATGACTCAGGAAACGATACTTCCTCCCCTCCCTCCACTCAAACGAGCTCATCCAGGTCAAAGGACAGCCAGGAGAAAAGAAGTCTAGTCCATGATGGCTTTGGCCATGCCTTCTCGTCCGGGAAGCCCAAACTGGCCAACAGTGATAACAGCTCTGATTCAGGAAATTCCTTCACCAGTTGCTTTTCCCAGACCAAGGGAACAGCTTTGGAAAATCTGTCTCCAGATGCCCAGGGACAAGACCGAAGGTCAGTGATTACCAGTAGCTGCTGCTGGCAACCATGTACCTGGTACGTTGTTGCTCTGTATCTCCTGCCTGCTCGCCAGTTGCAGTGGTGAGCTGGCAGGGAGGTTTTTGTGGTCTGGAGGCACTTTAGATATAAATCAGACCCACGGTCTTGCCAGTCTGGAGTCCACAACCCAGCAATGACTAATGCTGTAGCCTGAGGAGGAAGATGAAAACCCAGCCATCACTGATGCCCTGGGCAGTGCAGGTGCCAGCATTGATGTGGCTAATGCAGGGTTTGGCCCTGGGGGGAGCCATGCCCTGAACACAACCCTGCTCAGCTGGACATGACTATGTCAAATAGAAGTTACTGGCCCTTCTGGGCAAAGTCTGGAAAGGTGCATCAGGGGGTTGCTCTGCTAATTCTTCCTCTCCACTTACTGTGGGGAAGAGCAATGGGGTTCTTTTTTGTTAAAACCATTACAGGCTGTTCTTTCACCTGTCCAATGAGCCAAATCCAGCCTGCCCCTTCCCAGCTCATTCAGGACTGGTCCTCGGTGACGTGGTAGCATCTCCTGTAGGTGGGGGGCACAGGGAGGGGCAGGTGCCTCGCTGGCTGCCAGATAACACAGCAGCAGCTCTGTGTGCTGGGGTTACAGGGCATCAGGGACAGGAATCAAACCACCATCTGGTGCCACAGGTCATCATCAGGAGAGGGGAGTAGATGCCAGCCTCCATCACCACCTCCCATTCCTGGGGGTTTGCCAGGTGATGCTGGGGATGAAGGCACTGAAGCGTGGTGGCTGCTAGCCAAGGCTGTGCTCAGGCAGTGGTTTTAGGGAGCTCTTCCAGCTCAGGCCCTTGGGTCTTAAATGCTGAAAATTAGAGCCAGAATGTGGTCTGGGGGTGAGAGCACGGAATGAGAGAGGAGAGGGAGCCAGGGGAATTGGTGTTAGGAAGAACAAGTCCTCGATTTTCAGTGAGAGTGTAAAATTTTAGGGCTATATATACTTTTCATATTGTGACTCCAGTGGGATAACTCTGCCTTCACATGGGTGGAGCTGGGATTGCAGCTGGCCCTGGCTGCTGGGAGGCTGCCTGGCTGCTGGGCTCTAACCCCAGTTCACACCTAGAGCTCTTCTGGAAGCGCAGGAATTCCTGCAGCCCTGTCCAAAGGCATCAGGACGTGCCCACTCGTGCTGTTCCACAGCCAGGCTGGAGCACAGGCCCTTGCCCTGCCATGCTCTGCCTTTCCCTTGCTCCAGCACTTCTCACCTCACTCCCTCCCCAGGACCTGCACTGCTCGCTGCCCTGACCCAGGCTCTGCCAACCAGATGTGTCTGGTGTGTTGGCCATGGGGCAGAAGAGCTGCCCCTCATGCCACTTGAGACCTCTTCCACAGCTCTTCCCTGGCACAGCCTGGAGGGTGAGCTCTTGGGCTCTGACCCACACAGATGGGGTCTCCTGCAACAGCAGCCTGGGGAGCTGGGAGGTCTTCTTTATCCCCAGTTGGGGAATGGGAGGATGGGAGTTGGCTAGAGCATGGTGCTCCCCTCAGCCAGGGACCAGTCCCAGTTGAGCCACAGCTCCAATGTCTGTCCAAATATATGTTCACAGGGGGTGCCTGTCCTTGTGTCTCAGCTGTTCAGAGGAGAAGAAGCAAAACTTCCTCTCATCCCCAACCCACAGCTCCCTGCTGAGGCCGTGCTCCCGCAGCGAGTCCTACACCAGCACGGGCAGATCCTCCCCTGGCTCCAGCTGCTCCAGCCACTCCCAGTCCTCACACCACAAGGCCTCTCCCAGGTACTCCCGAAGCAGGTCCTGCTCTTCAGGAAAGAGGTAAGGCCAGCTAAAACAGCTGTCCCTGTGATCCTGGGCAGTGTCTAACTCTTGCAGGCTGGCAGGCTCCTTGCAGGAGGAAGTGTAAGAGTCTGGGGGGTGCCTAGGGATCCACATGGCTTGGGATGAACCAGCCACACAGCGCTGATCTGAGACCGTGAAATATGGGGCATCTCTTCCCCCCATGAGCCCAGATTTGGAGGAGTCTGGTACAGTCTCACTCTCCAGTATCTTCAGCTCTTTATGGTTCTTTCCTGTCCACAGGTCTTCTTCACGTTCCCCCAGCTATTCCTCCAAATCCTGCAAAAAAAGTCCTGGGAGCAGGAGTTCAAGGCCTCGCCGGAGCCCCAGTTACTCCCGCTACAGCCCTAGCAGGTACAGCTCTCTCCTCATGTGCTATCTGCTGCCTCACGCTTTCCCACTGCCTCCATCACTTTTTTTTTTTGAGTCCAGCATACTTGCGGGCCCCTGCCAGTCCCAAACTGCTTCCTCACTGCATGCCTTCATCCTCAGCACCAGGGTAAGAGGGAGCAGGGGGGACACGGAGTAAGGCATGTGGCAGCTTGTTATGTTGGAGATTTCTCACCATTTATTGCCCCAGAGCTGGTGCTGGTTGCAGGGGGGAAAGCCAAGAGGTGAGCCTGTGGGGAAAATGGATTTCCTATAGCCAAGGACTGCCCTGCATTGATGCAGGGGAATTTCACACAAGCACTTTTGGGGGCACAGAGACCTGGTTTATTCCTGGCTTTGAAGCATCCTGGTATCTCACAGTCAGAGCGTGCAGCGTGTGAAGCGGCTGCTCCTCCGCTCTGAGCCATTGCGAGGGGACACACTACGCAGCCAAGAGAGCACAGATGGCTGCTCAGTGGTGTTTGCCAGGGCATCATGCAAGTGGAAGATGCCTCATAGGAAAACCCATGGAGTGCCCCTCTGTGTCCTGTTGGTGTAGGTGGTGGGCAGGGTTTTCATCGCCGAGGAGCCCATGCAAGGCAGCAGCCCCTGCAGCAGGGCTGCAGTCCTTGTCAGGGAGGGATCTTATTGCAGTTGGGAAAGAGGCTCTGCTTTTCAGAGTCACAGCTCTGCCAAAGAGTTGTCGGGCCTGGGAATTGCCCTTGCTGTGTGGGCAGATGCCAGATACCCTTGTGCTGGCACTGACACAGCCTTGCAGGGGGAAACACAGTCCAGACAACTCTACTCCCTCCATACCTCATGGAAAACACAGCTCAGCCCTAGAGATGCCTTTGGGCAGGTTAATCTGATAACATCTCTACTGCTGTGAACGTTTTGCACCCTTAAAATTTTACATTCTGATTCTTACAGGCTGTGACAATCCCTGCAACTGGTGTAGGAGAATATTTCCTGCGTGCAAGGATGAGGCCCTTGCCCTGTAACACGTTGCTTTGCAGAGGGCATTGAGCAGGGTGTATGAAGTCAGCTACACACCACGGAAGGGCCTGTGCTGACGTGTACAGGAATTTAACAAAGGAGAAAACCATAGCAACACCGGCACTCCTTCTGGCAAGCTGTGTGGAGCTGCACAGCCCTGCAGGGATACCAGTGGCCCTCTGCTCGTGTGGGGCCTGCTGGCAGGGTTGTTCTCTCCTGCTTCTGCAGCACAGCCAGCAAGAGCAATTTTATCAGAGCTAAGTACAGAGTGCATCCACAGACACAGGTACATGGGAGCCATTTTAGCTCAGCAGCACAAGGCCATGAGGAGACACTGCTGAAAGCCCCAGACACAATTTGTGGGTGTCCATCTGTCCAGCTAAGTCAGTGTGCACAGGGCTGATGCCATCAGGGTGCTTCACTTAGAGGGGTCCCTTTTGGAGCTGAGTGCCCTCTGCTCATCACTGCCTCCACAAAAACCCATCAGTGACAGTTTCTAATCTTCTGTGCCTTCCCCAGAGACCGCGAGCGAGAGCACAAGTACGGCTCCAGTGAGAAGGAGTCGCACAGGGAGCGTGACCGGCGGCGGCGGCGGCGGCGACGTTCCTATTCACCCCTGAGGAAACGCAGGAGAGACTCTCCCAGCCACCTGGAAGCTCGGCGCATCACAAGGTGAGGGGACATGGTCCCATCATTTAGAGATGGGCTCAGCCAGCACTCTCCAGCTGGGACACGGGCTGGCCTTGGGTTCCAGCCCTCACCAGTGGAGGTTGCTCCAGGAGGAGACTGGTTTCCCTGAGCCTGATCAGCAGGCCCTCAGCCCCTCCTAGAGCTTGGGGATTTCCAGCTAGAGGAAGGATGCAGGGCTCTGATTTACAACAAAGCAAAAAGGCAGATGAAATCAGAGTGGGGACTTGCTGGCAGTTACCAGGAACATCCCCCATAGGCTTTTTGTTTCACCCTCTCCTATGGTGGATGTCCCACACTGCAGAGAGAGTCAAATTTTGACTCTAATTTACATGCTGAGGGCTCTTTGGGATAACATCAGGCAGAGCCTGGCCTCAGCTCGGTGCTTAGAACATTTCCCAGGGTCCTGGGGGTGAGTGGTTTGAATCCCAAGGCCTGTCAGTTACTGAGCTTTCTCTTTTTTTCTTTTAAATAAACACAGTCACATTTTGGGGGAGTGTTGTGCAGACTAAGCAGTGCTTTTTGGAGATTCTGGCAGTAAATCTGTCCTTGCGTTGCTGTTAACGCACGTGTCTCTGTCCCCACAGTGCCCGCAAACGCCCCATCCCCTACTACCGTCCCAGTCCCTCCTCCTCCAGCAGCGCCAGCAGCTACTCCTCCTGGTACAGCAGCTTTAGCCGGTCCCGGAGCCGGAGCTACTCCAGCTACCGGACAAGCCGAAGCCGAAGCTGGAGCAGCAGCAGCACCGAGGGCAGGAGCCGCAGCCGGAGTTCAGGCCCCAGGAGCAGCTGCAGCAGGAGCAGGAGCTATGACTCAGGAGGCAGCTCCGACAGCCTGCATCGCTAGGGAGTGTCACCCATGGCTCACGTGCCAGCTTTGCCTCCAAATTCCTGGCATTCTCCGCTTCCTTCCCACCTACCTGGCTACAACAGCAATCATCCCCGATCCTGATGTGGTGACAGTGCTGGGGCCCCCTTCCCCAGACTGGAGTAGGAGCCCTGGTGTTCCCAGCGCAGCCCCTTCGCCACCTCACGGAGATGGTGGATCAGTCCCAGCTCCCCAGGCCAGGGCTGGAAGAAGAGTTGGTGCTTTACAGAGGGTCTGTCACAACAGACCTGCTCCATCCTCCCTGATGTCGCCGTCTGCCCATCGCTGCCACTCTCCAAAGCACTACCAGCTGGTCCAAAGAATTCAGCTCCTTGCTCTTCTGCCAAACCAGGAACCAGCAAATTAATTGCTGTTGGAGGGAGAGACCCAGTTAGGGAGGAATTTGCTGGGAAGCTTTGGTGATGAGTGGAGATGACCTGTCCCCACCAAGGCAAATATCAGGTCCCTTAGATCTCTCCTGCAGAGTTACTGCCCGCTCTGCAGCAGGCCTTTGCCATGAGAGTATATTTATTTATTGTTAGTCAGCCAGTCCCTGCTATAAATAGAAGGCTAGAAATCCCTGCTGACATCATTCCTGGGGAAAAAAAGGCCATTCCCTCTCTTTCTCCCACCCTTTCCTACCAGGTATGTATCATCTTTTGTAGGGTTGTTTTATCCCCCTGCCCCAGCACTGTGACTTCCTTACAAACAAACCGCTGAGGTCTGCAGCTGGCGTGGGGACAGTGGGGCACAAGGGAGAGGGGAGCTGCACCCCGAGGGTCAGGCCATGGGGTGGGAGGTGGGGGCTGTGGGGTTCCCTTTGCAGAGGACCCCTCTTGCAGTTTGTGTTTAGGTTTTTCTACAAGGAGCCTTGCCTGCACCAAGCTGGGGCAGATGCACTGGTGCCCCAGTTTGTTGCTGGGAGGTCGGAGCAGTGTGGGGGGACAGAAAGGGCCCCCCACTAATTGCCTGTTTCTCCAGGGAGCTGCAGGCAGTGGCAGG